GCCGCACCCAGGGCTACTGCAGGCGGGTGCTGCCGGGTGGTCCCCGCTGCCGGCGGGGTGCTGGCTCGGAACCCCAGGTCCCCCGGGCTTTCAGCTGGAACACTTCTCCCGGGGCCTGTCCCCAAGCGAGATACGGCACCGCCATCTATCGGCAAGCACCTGGGGACAGGAAGCGACAGGGACCCCCCTGTCCCCGCTGTCCCGTGCCGCAGGGACCCTCTCTGGTGTTGGCTCGGTTTGGGGGTGCTCGAGTGCCCCTGCAAGGCTTCTGGGGCTGCAGAGCAAGCGAGCAGGGCTGCCTGCCCCAGCGCTGGGGATGCCAGTGTGACACACTGGGCGTCGGGGAGGCTGGGCTGGTTGTGTTGGCTCTGGGCAGGCTGGAGCCTCCCCACGGCTGAGCTCTGCGGGAGCAGGGATCTCCCGGCACACGCAGGTGCTTTGCTGCACCAGGCAGCGTCGCTGGGGCTTGTACCTGCAGGGAAAGGAAGACACCCACACGTGCTTCTGCTGCAGTGGGAAGAGCTGGGGACAGGGCCAGTGGGTCCTCCCAGCCTGTAGCCACCTTGAAGGTCCCTTAACAGTGAGCAATGTTTTGCTCTCTGTGCTGTTTTAACTGAGCACAAGCCACCAGCACGTCTTTGTGAGAGATTCAGAAGATTTTTTAGCTCTGATTATCTTCTCCATCCCAAAGGGGTGAAATTCACCCAACGCCATGAGTTCCCCTCAGAGCTTCCCATGCCCCGTGTCGGGCTGTTCTCCACACCCTGGCGCTGCCTGCAGCCTCCAGCTACCGCACTCACCCCTGGCAAGTCCTTGCCCAAGGACATTTTTCATGGTTGTGGTGCCCGTTACAACTGTGTCTTCACCAGAGGGAGCTGTGTCCCTGCTTGGCCCAATTCCGGCCCAATTCCCTACTCCTTTCCCTTTTTATAGACCTTGGCAACGCTCCGGCCGACGTCCTGCCCAGGTCTAACGAGCACTCAAAGCTGCTGGTGACAGAGGAGAAGGCTGCTTGGGTTTGCATTTCTTCTGGCACTCTTCTAGCCGTGCCAGACCGAGTCTGTCCGCTGCCAGGAGGCTCTTATGTCAGCCCCTGTGCCGTAAGTGCCCTGGGGGATTGATCGCAGGGTTTCTCCGGGGCCAGCGCCACCAGCCGTGCCGTGTCTGCAGGTGTGTGGGGCTGGAGCTTAGGGCTGTAGTCCCCACCCCCCCTTCTCCTGGAACACCTCTTGCTTCGGCTGCTTTCCCAGGACAGGCACTAGTGTCACAGTACACTTGAGCTGTCCCCACTGTCCTCACCCGTGTGTCTGTGAGAGGAGTGGCCCCTGCTGCCACCCCTGTGCTGCCCCAGGAGCAGCTCCTCTCCCACCTCTGCCACCTCCCCAGTGTGACATGCCAGCTGCCCACACCCCAGCTCCAGCCAGGCAGCAGCTCCTCGTGGCCACTTTGCAGCCCCTTGTTGAGGGATTTTGACACACAACTCTGCCCTAAGTATTTATGTTACCAATATCTCCCCACTGAACTAGACATGCTGAGAGCAGTTCCAGCCCAGCCCTGGGGGTTGCCTCTTCTGGTGGCTCTTCCTAGACAAGAAAGCAGGTTTTCAACCTAGATTTTACTTTCAGGCTATATTCCCTGCCTCCTGCACTGCTGTGATGCTCAGCTGGAGCCAGGCAGGCTGGGACCAACCCAGGCAGAGGTTGTCTCTCAGCAGTTTTATCCAGGCAGCAACCTGGGTCAGAAAAGGGTTTCCCAGGGCCCACCAGAGGCAATGTCTGCTCTATGTCCAGGCAGCCTTGGCATTTGCATTTATTACCACTGTAAGGCTGTGGGGTCATGAGAACTTGTATGACTTTATTGGGGTCTGACAGAGCTCTGAAGAATCCCAGAGCCAGGGTGAGTTGGGGCTGGAGGGAGGCTGGAAGCCCACCTCTGAACTCCCAGTGGGTTCCAGCTACCTCCTCCCACGGAGGAGGGCTGTCAGACACCCACTTTGGAGGGATTGGGGGGCAGGAAAGCTTGGGGTAGCTCAGGACACTGACAGAGGAGAGGCAGGGATGCAGTTTGGCAGTGCAGTGCCCTTGGCCCCTCTGCCTGCTCCTGAGCTGGGCTGACAAAAGCTCCTGTAGGCAGGAATCCAGTGCCCTGTGTGGGGTCTCTGAGGCAAGAGCAGTTCAGGAGCCCACCAGCCCCTGGCTGAAGGTAACCAGGCAAGCACACTGGGTCTTTCCTATTCTGGGGGTCATGAATCCCTCCCAGTTTGTCTCATCCCAGCTCTACTCTTAGCCTACAGGAGTGCAGGCATCTCCAGTTACCCCAGGAAGGTGGCCAGGGGTTCCTGAACTGCTCCTGGAATGACAAACTCGGGCTGCCTGAAATAGCTTGGGCTCCTGCCATGGCAAAGCCACAGCAGCCCCAGATCTATTACCTGGAGCTGGGCAAGGCCAGCAGCGCTGTCCAGCTCTGCCTGCTTGGGGGTTGTGGGCTCACTCCCACCCAGGACTTCCATCCTGGCACCAGCAGCAGGACAGGGCTTGGGAGGCAGTCGAACATGGGAAGGCAAGGCAGCAAATCTCTGTGTGGCCAGTGGAGGAAGGGAAGAGAAAGGAAAAGCGGCTGAATACAAAACTCTGCCAGGCTGAGCGTGGCTTTCTTACTGGAAAGCCAAAAATAGTCTCTTTACTCAGAAGAGGCTGTAGGAGGGATCTCACCCAAAGCACAGCCAAATACCTAGGAGGCCATAGGACAGACCCAGAGCAGCATGGCTTTGCTGAGGCATTACCAGACCTTCAAAAGGCAGCAGCAACAGCAGAACCAGCCAATAAACCTGTTACCTCTGGGCATCTCATCATGTCAGTGATGCTAGAGGAACCACATAGACTGGTGAGGGGACATCTCAATCCCAGCAGAGCTGGGGAGCAGCCACATGCCAGCCCTTGGTCAGTGGCAAAGATTCATCTCAGGGGATGGAGATGGCAATAGGACAGGGGACGTTTCCAGTATTTCATGGCCAGGCCTGAGAGATGTCTGGAAACCCCCTGGGCAACTCTGGAGTTCCTGTGGTGCCAGACCCCTCACAGGCAGCTCTGCAGAGCTGCTGCTGCCTGTGCTGGGCAACACCCAGGTGCTGCTGGGGAAGCTGGCAGTGCTGAAAGGCCATGGCCCTGCCAGGGGCACACAGGCCAGTTGCTCACATGACAGCATCTCTGTACTGTGCTGATCTATCATCTCCTCATTCCTAGGGTTCTCACCCTGCCCCAGCTTTTCTGTGGGCAGTTACTCCTGGAAGCATCCTGGAGTCATCTTCAATCATGCCTTCACAAGCTGACATTTATAGAGCTTCTTCCAGCGGCTGATGGATTTAATAGTGTGAATCTCCTCCCAGCCCCAGCCTGTGCTTATGCCTTTCCCTCCACAGGGTCTGTCATTGCCCCAAAGCATGGTGAGAGCTGAAGCTGAAGCTGCAGCTCTGCTGCCAACAGCTTTTGGCTTCTGGGCAGGGAAACCTAACCTGGCAGAGCCCAGTTGTACTAGTCTTCTGCCTAATGCCCTGCCTGCCAAGCTAATCCTCTCCTGGTCTCTCCCAGCCATTTTTTTTGCTTCTCAGATTTCTTCCTCTTGGGTGGAGGAGCCAAATCTTTCAATACTCAGGCTATTTCTTAAAGCACCAACTCCGGAAATGGTGGGAAAACTGGAGGCTTCTGCCTTCTGGTGGCTTTTGTTTCTTTAAGGAGTTTCTTATCCTCCTGCTTGCGCAGAAAAAGCAGGAACCAGGAGCCTGCAGCTCACAACCAAGAAGCAGAAGATGGACACAGAACCCAGACAGACCCATTCTGTGGAGCTGTGGTTGTTCTGTGCACAGGGACATGCAGACCTGCTGGGCAGCCATTAAAATTTCTTCCAGCAGTCACTTGCCTTCAATCACCCACCCTCGGGAACTGGGAGCAAGATAGGTGCGTAGGGGAAAGGTGAGGCAGCAGCTGGGATGGGGCTTGGGCAGGGGGTTGAGCATCCAGCCCTGCAGTGGTCTCTGCCCTCCAGCCCCTTGGCAGTGCTGGAGCCAAAAGCCCACAAGGGCTGCATGTCCCCCCTCCTCACCTAACAATCCTCTGTGCAGGCTTCTCTGGAGAAGCCTAGCGCCAACCCAGATGCTTTCCAGCAGTGCATACCATGGTTGTGAATCCATTTCCTTCAGGGAGTTATTCTGAGCATGGCACTGTGGGATGGATGCCACTCCTGCCAGCACTATGGGAGCATCCCATGAGATGCCAGGTGTCACTGTGGGGACTCAGCTCAAGGAACCCAGAGCTCTGCTCTGGGAAGGTCATTGTGAGGTGATACTTTGGTGCCCAGCCAGTTGAGGCTGGCCTGCAGTTCCAGAGTTGTGTGGGACTCTAAAAGAAGTTGGTATCAAGACAACTAACAAAATGGTAACAAAATAAGCAATTCTATTATCATTAGACAAAATATGAGTATTTTGAGCAACTGTGTTGGTAGTTTTAAGATACCCAGCAAGGCACAAACTAACTTAATTACTCAAAACAAGGAGGCAGAAGCCCTGCCGAGCCCCAAAGATGCACAAAGTCCTTCACCCTCACCCAGTGCTGAAATTCCTGTGCTGCCCCAAACATACACAGCCTAGGGCCCTCCTGCCACTACCTCCCTTTGAGCAGTCTGGAGGCATCCTGAGGAGCCCCTGGTCAGACTGCAGTGTGGGACTGCCTGGCTGAGGAGCATAAACCTCAGCTTCTCAATTCAGGTCATAACCCATACCAGTGGCAGGCAAAGGGCTGGGCCACAGGCCAGAGGGGATGGGGATCACCCTTCTCCCTGCATTGCAAGGGTGGCTGGGCCAGACAGGCCCCCTCCTCCCATTGCCATCCCCAGACCCCATTTCCCTTCCTCTCTGGCACTCATCAAGAGCTCAACACTGGGCACAGGCAGAAAGGTGCAGTGCCAGGAGCTGAGCCATGCGGGAGTAAGAAGGGGACATGAGGACAGAGCAGAACTGTTTTTATTGGAGGTGTCAAGAGCAGGAACAATAACAAACCTACAGGCTCCCCTCCTCAAGTGCCATCCTCCCCCTCCACCACTGGGGCAGTCAGCATCACGTGTGCGTGCTACAAGACAACGGCAAGGCTTGCACTTCGCTTTGGCCAAAAGCCAGCCAAATCCCCCAGCATCCTGGGCAGTGCCACCACCCCCTCCCTGGTGACTGCCAACTCAGCTTGGCCCTGCCAGAGGCAGGACAGGACATTCATTCACCTTCCCCTCAAAGGAAGGGTGAGCTTTGCGTGACAGGTTTTGGTTACAGGAAAGACAGGAGCACAGCTCCACCAACGTGCCAGGGGACGTGACCTGGGCTGCAGCTCCCACAGGGACATCTCAGAGGACCCTGGGAGAGAGTAAACCATGCAGCCTGAGCAAAGCTGCAGCAGCCACAGGCAAAAACTGTCATCGCTAAACCCCGAAGGGCCTCACTGCCTCCTCTCTTTAATACAAACCAAACCAGAAGGGAGAGGGGTCAGAAGACAAACCAGGAGGGGAAGTGAAGCAGGTCTGGAACACCGTTCGGCTCTGGCTCATTTCCCAGCCCGCCGCTCCTCCTGGCGTTTGGTGAGGATGTATTTGAAGAACTCATACACGGACCAGGCAATTGCCGTTGAGGGCATCTGATAAATGACTCTTGCCTGGACCCCTCTGAAGTAGGCGGTCACACCGCCCACTTGGTACACCGTCCTGAAGGCATTGGCCATGCCTGTGATGTGTCCACTGATGTTGGAGCTCAAGGCCAGGGATTCCTGGGTGTTGAGCAGCGTTTTGCAAACGTCCAAAGGTGTAGTGGCAGCGGCAGCGACAGCCCCTGCGCAGGCTCCGGAGACCACGTGGGAGCCCGGGTTGTACTGTCTGTGGGGGTTGAGCTGCTCTTGCAAGAACTCGTAGGTCATGAAGTGAATGGCTTGGAAGGGGATGTTCATGGTGAGCTGGGTGGTGTAGCTGCGGTAGAAAGCTCCAGCCCCTTCGTTGCGCCACACAGCCCGCACACAGTCCGTCACACGCTGGTAAGGCGAGTTGTACATCTGCATCCTCTGTTTGACCACTTGGGACAAGCAGCGGCAGCCAGCAGCAGTAGCCAGGACCCAGACGTGGAGGGGAAGAGAGGGAAAGCATAAGCACAAAGTCAGGCTTCCTCCAAGCGCCTGGAGTTTGGTCACACTGGCTTAGGAGCTAACGCCAGACAACATGGACTAACAGTGTCCCCTGGCAGCACTGCAGCCATTTAGATCTGCCAAGGTATCACCATAGCACCAACCCCACGAAGAACATCCCAGTATCCAGGTGCTTGTACTCTGGATCCACCCTTGCTCCCAAGCAACCAACATCTCTCCATCTACCTCTACAGAGCCACTGTGCGGTCAGAAGAACACCTCTGCATCTTTTAGTTTCCAGACAGCTCTCGATCTGTCCCATCCCTCCCCAGCCACCCCCACTGCAGCCCAAAATAACTACGGCACATTGCAGAGCCCACCAGCAGGCTAGCAGCTGCTGCTGAAATACAGCTGCTCTGGAGCAAGAAACAGACACTAAATCCTCCCCCCAGCACATCCAAGAGTGGGGCAGAGAAGCCCAGAGCACAGCCTGCTGCTGTCCTGCCTCCACGCATCGCAACGTGACTACAAGGAGCTAAAAATGATATAACTACAAACCACTACAGCCGTGATAAGAAGACAAGCTCCAGGGGAGGAATGCCAATGGTCTGGCCAGGCAGCTGCCTGTTCCTCAGGGCCCCAGCCAGGCAGGAGCCCTGCTGGGCCCAGATCAGCTGGAGCCTGCACTTAACCAGCCTTCCAGTTTTAAGAGGAAAACATGCATTTATTTCTAGTTATTCCTCCTTCTCCCACCACATTCACAGACTTCAATTACAAACCCCCTCTGCCTCTTACATACATACTAGGCTCAACAAAAACAGTATCTTTCAAACATTCCACAACATAAGATCTCCTTCTGCCGACTTTTCTAACGTGCCTTTCGTAGCCCATTCTTCTTATCTTAGTTTTGAACACAGGCCCAGAGCCAGACCAAATCTTCCCGAGATCTCACCACAGCAATATCCAACTTCTGCACACACAGAGTGACCTCAGCAGCACGGATCCCATCTCTCTTGCCTTCTCTCCTGCTCCAGGTCACTCTGCCCCATCTACACCCTGTGCCAAAGGACTGTGCCCTCCCAGTTCCTCCTAAGCTGGGGTTTGCTGCATTCCCCAGAGTAAATCCCTTCTACCTACCCACTCCATAATGGGCAGCCCCCAGACTCCCTAACCGGAGCTGCAGCCACCGTTCCTCAAACGATCCTTGCAGTTGAGCAGCAGTGAGAACACCCTCCGTGCCACAGAGGGGATCTGAGCAGCACGGGCAGCCCCTGATCCTCCCCTCCCCAGCAGGCCAGGACCATCGTTACCTTCGGCAGGGTTCATGGCTGCATCATGGAGCAACGTTGCTACACACCCGGCTGCACCTGCAAAACAAGAACTGCTACATGTGAGGGGGTGGGGGAGGTGAGGGACCCCTGGGCTCCACCACAGCCCCGAGTCCCCCACCAAAGCACAGGGGAAGGCCCCTAGAAGAGGCCCGAAAGTGGCCTCCGTCTCCCCTCCAAGAGGTGGGCTGGTCCTCAGCAGTTCCCACCCGGAGATAGCTCAGGAAAGAGAGGGGGAGGATTGCGACAGGCTCTCCAGTCCTGTGGGCCGACCAGACTCGCTCAGGCCAGGCCGTCGGGGGACAGGCCGGCGCCACCA